AATCTTTTTAGATCTGGACTGTCAGCATTATGTTGACAGTATCTGTGCAGACTGAATTTTTGGACCTGTGAAACCTCTAGGTCCAAGATGGGGTGGATACCCTGTTTTGGTGTGGGAACTGTGAAAGGCTTGGAGTAAACCCCTGAAACTTTTCTGTCATTGGAACTAGGGTAATTATGCCTTTTTTAAAAAGATTTGCAAAAGTAGCACGGGAGGTTTGTTAGTCTGTGCAGAGACAAAGGCAGGTTGGATAACATGAAGCAGGGATTGGGAAGGGGGTCAAGAGGCAAACTGTAGCTTGTAGCAGATTTAGAAGATTTAGAGTTCCAGGGCTTACAGTTAATCTGGGCCCCTGGCTTTGGTCTGTGCTTGGAGTTTGAAGCCTGGAAACTCTTTTTGGAAGTGGGTGGAGGGAGTCTTCCCAATTGGAGGCTTAGGCTCTTTCAGGGGGTACAAATGAGTACTATTACCCAAGATAACATGTTTTATGGGGGTGTTCATGGCAGTTCCAAAGAGACGTTCACCCTCAAAAGGTTGTCTCTACAGCAGAAGGCTCAGAGGCTGCTACAGTTGTCTGACAATGATTATGCTTGCAGCCTCTGTGCATAGAAAGCTGCAATATGACCATAAACTATTGCAAAACTGCTGAGAACTCCTCACTAGATAAAGCCAAGGAGGGGGACACATGTGACAGTGCTAAAGAAGACTCCAAGGAGTGTATGGAATAAAGCAGGCGACCACAGTCCAGGCTGTCAGTGTCACATCTATAAGGAGGGACACTTCAGACTGCCCCAGAACTGTTAGTGGATCGTGAGCTGAAAGGACCCAGCACAGAGGGGCTGACATGTTGTATTGCATATTTTAGAACATCAGGCAAAAAAAACCTTATGAACTGCCTGATAAGAGCAGGAGAGGTTCAAATGGCCAGAGATGACTTGGTCACTGTAGATGGCAACAAAAGACAAGCCGATGTGGACCTGCATGTCCCTTGCAAATACCTCATGCTGAATGGCCAGAGCAGAGTGAAGAGTGCAGACTGTATGCATGTGACACTCCAGATAATGATGCAGCACTTAATTTCTCAGGGTATTAACCATCTAACCAGCTAACAAATACAGTACACATAGATCTGAGAAGCACATCAAACAGAGTCCAGTGCCTGAAAGTCAAATTCCAGGCAGGCCCCACAATTGTTCAGTCCAGCAGGGTCTGGGTTTGGCTTCCAAAGCCATTGCTGAGAATATGCTGATCTGGATAACTACAAAAAGAGACTGTCGCAAGCGAACACTCTGATGAAGTCATGAATGAAGCAAAAATGAATCTGGGAAAAAAACAGAAATGGTTAGCAAAACAGTTATTTTCTACATAAAGCTCCATCCTCCTAGGACACTAGAAAAAATCTAGTGTGCTAGGAAGGGGAGGGATTAAACCACACTGGTCACTGTTTATGTTGGCAGTGTTCAAATCTTCTTGTAGGTGGCAGTATAGCTCCTTGTCTCTGAATCCGGAGTCCTTCCATGAATGAGAAAGAAAGAAATGTATGTATTTATTCAAAAACTATTTTATTTAACTATTTTTATAAAAATGTAGATACTTATGTATTCTGGATATTTCTGATAACTAGCTCACATCATCTGTTTATTAGCTTTTATGTAACTGTATCCTTAGAATGGAAAAATCTCTCCACAGTTGAAAGCTGAGAAGATTAAGGAAGCAAGTCAAAGGGCATAGTTTGCTATCTTGACAGCTTTTCCTATTGCTTTGCATTTACAATTGGCAGGAGGTATTCATCAAACTGACCAGTTTTTTTCTTAGTTAGTGTAAGATATATGAAACATATTTAATTCTTCCACTGTTCTATTCAGCAATGAAAAGCAAGGAAGACAGCCCAGTGTAAGCTGAAGTTGGATTTCTAGTGGAAGTTTACCCAGGACTGGCTGTCTCCTCACCCACATGACAGTGCTGGGCCAATCAGAGAGCACAAGTACAGCCACATAGGAGTTGATTTACTAAAACTGCAAAATCTGGTGCAGCAGTGTGGTAGCCAATCAGCTTCTAACTTCAGCTTGTTCAATTGAGCTTTGACAAAAAAAAATGGAAGCTGATTGGTTTCTATGCAGAGCTGCACCATATTTTGCACTCTCCAGTTTTAGTAAATCAACCCCACATTGTGCCATTGACAAGACTGAAATGCAAAGACTACTGTTGGGGAACCAACCTTAAAAAGGGAATTTTTAAGCTACCCTTTGCTTCAGTATTTATAAAAGAGACAAAAAAGTCCATTAGATCTTGTAAACAACAAAAGCTGTGGAAAGATAAGAATAATTAATTATTGTAATTATTAATTAATTCAATACAAATGAACTGTATTTTTAAATGCAGCTAGTGTAGAGTCATGTATATGACTTGGTAGCAACCTCTTGCAATCCTTTGTACAGCAACACTGAGGGAAGGGTGGGCCAACACTAGAAGCCAATATCTGATATGCTGCATCCACATAAGCTGGCAAGGAACAGGCTGCCAAGAGATAAGAGCAGGGTAAGCAGAGGGATGTCTTCATCAGGCACCAAACTAGATGAGCTGCATAGCAGAGTTGTGTAAATTTCAGTAATGGATGGACAGAAATACCATACAACTAGAAGACAAAACAGCTTCCATTTTAGTATCCTAGAATCCACAAAGTCTTGGACTCACTATTACGTGAATAAAAACTATTGCTTGCAATGTCACACCATAGCTTGCCTTCACCTGCCCTTGTGCCTTGCCATTGTCCCATAGATAGACACAGTAGCCCTAAACAGGCAGAACAAAGCACAATCATGTGAGTGGGTACAGTGTGTGCACTGAGGTGACATTCATGTTAGATTGTAACCTTTTGCATATAGCAGCGCAAAACAATACATATCTGAGTGCTGTGGTTTTCTGTGTTAAAAAAATGCTGCAGGTATCTTAAAACCTGAGATGTGGCACGTTAGCAGCCGATTCAAAATAAATTGGCTAATTTTCCTCAACATATGTTAACTTGTGAGATACGTATATTTACACACATGCCTTAATGCACTGCAGTACAGAGAAACTATGTAAATTGGCCCCTAGAGTTAAATTCTAGCCAAGCAGCTAAATACACAGTTTAAATTCACAAATTAGGAAGATCTTCCATGCCAAAAAATTACCAGTGCTGCTCAGCAACTCTTGTGATTCATGAGCCCTTGCGAGATAGCACAGCCATGCCTTGGACCTGCACTAGGTAAGCAGTGTAGCTTTGTCTAGGACACACCTCCAGCCTGCTGGTCAGGCAGTCAATGAGTAACAGCACAAGGGGCGGACTGACCATTTGGAAACTCGGGCACTGCCCGAGGGCCCAGGGTCAGTAGGAGGCCCCATGAGATGCCCCCTGTACCTTTTTCATAGGCTTTTTTGAGTTTGGGCAAGGACACAGGTACCCCATTATCCCCTATTGCCTGGGGGCCTCATGAGTTGTCAGTCCGCCCCTGAACAGCATACAGATGTGGCAAAGCCTGACTGGCTTGTAGTATTGCTCCTCACTCTTTAAATTTTCATTCTGCATTACAGTGAGTTTCAGGAAGCTGAAATAAAGTGGCCATATTTGGGCAGAGGTATCACTGCTATTCCTGGGGGGATGTCAATGGATCCTTGGCATGTGGTGGGTGTACGTAACCATGGCTTCCTTAGGAGGCAGCAACAATGGAATGAAATACCATTTTTATGCTCAGTTCCCAACACTCAGGGGGATGAACAGGCAACGTTCAATCCAAACCTATGTCAGTTCATCCCCACCCCATATAGCAATCATAATCTGACAATGGTACTCATCCTACCGCACTCTATCTACAACTAAGGGAAGGGATTTAGATTTACTTAAGGTTCAAACTTTGCAAGTAGCCACATTGTTTATCTTTTTATTAAATTTTGTATTTTGTTTTATTTATTGTAGGTTCTGAGATTGTGGATTTGGGGTTTTCATGAACTGTAAGCCATAATCATCACAATTATGACAAATCACAGCTTGAACTATCTTGCTTTGCATGTAATGAGTCTATCTCATATATTAGTTTCACCCTTTACGTTGCATTACTGAAATAAATGAACTTTTGCACAATATTCTAATTTTTTCGAGCTTCACCTGTATATTTGTATTTTAAAATCCACATTGCTTATCTCTGTATTACATTTTTTATTTTGACTTGAATTCTTCTTTTTTTTAATCAGATATTTTTTTATTAAGCATTCAGCATTAAATATTACCCTTAAATATAACCCTTTCCCTGTACCCTTCCAATGCCCTCCCTTAACCCAATCCCTGTCAATAAAATCTGGCATAAATATAAACAGTCTCTCATTTTTATGTGCTTGTTATGTCTCTTGTTAAATTGCCCACATGAGCAAAGCTTGCGTGAGATAGTCCAATCATAAAACAAAGGACATTTTGGTTGAATTCTTCTTAAATTTAATTATAAGGTTTAGTTACTAAAATGAGTCATTTTAATTATGGCTTTTATTATGTCAAAATGAGTAAAATCTCTATTTTTATTTACGTCTCCTGAGCCACAGTACTTGAAATCATCACAGGTTATACAGAAAAATTCCTACTTTAGTAATATATCCCCAATAGGACACATTGAGGTTGATTTACTAAAACTGGTAAGTGCAAAATCTGGTGCCGCTCTGCATAGAAACCAATCCGCTTCCATTTTTTTTTTTTTTTTTTTTGCCACAGCTTACTTTAACAAGTTTTAGTTAGAGGATGATTGGTTACCATGCACAGCTGCACCAAAATTTGCACTTTCCAACTTCAGTAAATCACTCCATTACTTTTCATATTGTAGTCCCAAACTATTTTTGCTTGTGTATGTACACAATCACACACTTCTTGCTAATGTTATAGACTAGGTAAAAGAAAAGACCATTTTTTTTTTTGGAAAGTATATTACTAGTATTATACAGTACTCGAAAATACTTGACATTCTTGTAAAAGATACCTGTGTGACCGAGTTGACAACCTTTCCTTTTCAAGATGTCTTCAACCGGAGTGTCAAAGATTAACTGAACATTTTGAAGCAGTCCCTGAAAATGTAATTAAAACATTAGTAAATATTCGACTTAACTAAATATTTTACAATTTACCAATAAGAATATACATTTTAAAACAAAATGCTCTTTTTACATACTACATTGACCAAAATACAAAAGGTCTCATGCACAAAAGTATCCAAAAGAACTGTTTTTGTTGCCCCTACCAACCAGTCATATTCTTCATTCTGTCCCCAGCTATCAGCATTTTCTTTCCTTCATAGTAGGGCTGCTAATGGAGAGGTACAGCTGGCCCTCCTGTACCAGTTCTGGGCCTCATCAGTTTAACAGGGGCTGGGACAGAGAGGATTCCCTTTAAATATGTGTGGGTGCATGCACAGTATATTCAGGGGCCTCGGCCCACCAGCAATTAAAGACCCCCTCAATTCAGAAGCAGTGGACAGGGACAGAGAGGGGATTATTTACTCCTTTTCTGGATCAGGCAGAGTAATTCTCTATGGTGTGGCTAGTGACAATTATAACTTTTTTTTCATCGGAGTGGGGAGGGATTTCAACACCTGTCAGGTTTTTATTGCTGTTTGTGCCCCTCTTAAGAAAAAAGTACCCAAGAGGTACTGGGATCTTGATGTGTATTCATACAAAGTGGAGAGAGGACAAAAAAATTTGGAGAGCTCATTGGCTCAGGTTAGGTTGCTCACAACAGACAGGGCTACCCCCTAGTGTGTACGCCAGCAGGTTATCAGAAAAAAGCATGCGCTAATGGAAGGAGTGCAAGCAACTAATGCATTTCGAGATCCCATCAGGGCTACAACAAAACACAATATAATATAGAAGTAATTGAGACTAGTACAATCATAAGTCTAACATTAGTAGATCATGGATATATACAGTGGCAAGAAAAAGTATGTGAAACCCTGTTTTTTATGCAGTAATTTGCTATAAAAATGGGATCTGAACTAAGTCATAACTATAGACAAACACAATGTGCTTAAACTGATAACACACAAACAATTAAAATTTCTTGTGTCTTTATTGAACCCACCCAATAAACATTCACAGTGCTGGATTACTTTTTGTTGTCACTGTATATAAGTGCACACATAACCACACACATATGCGCATACATGTGCACATGCATAGAAATGCCAATAAAGAAATATTAGCTGATAAGTGATACCGTGTGATAGGTCCATTCTGGAATTATTGTTATTGAATGCTATATGGTCCATATATACAATTAATACCATTGTACATATTAAAAAATAAATACAAAGATGTCTCATAAAATAGGACTAATGCTAAAAAAGCACTTTAAAAATATATATCTTGTAAATGGTACACTAAAACCCTTAGGCAAGCTGTAGATTATGCAAGTTTCTTCCCTTCCAGAAGTGCTATTGTGTTGTTGGCCGGCACTGATTGTTCAGGAAAGACCCAAAAGGTTGGTTGTACAAAAAGTCAATTGATAGACCCAACCGAATTTCGATCCAGATGAATTTCAATCCATGTATGGACGGATTTAGTCTAACAGCCATCAATTTAATAAAATAAAAACTGAAATGATACATACTTATGATGCTGTACTTAGGAAAAATAAATATATATATATATATATATATATATATGCACAGTATATATTGCAACCTCTATGAGCTGAAACCAAGGAGATGTATACGGAGGCTATACTTGGAAAAACCACGTTGCAATATCAGGGAGAAGAATAGTCCTGGGGGGCTGTACTGAGGGGTTAGGCGTTATTCATCTGGTTGTTTGTGTGGTGATGGGGGGGGGGGGGGGGCATAGGGCTGAAAATGATCTGCTCCAGGTGCCAGATATGATAAGTAGGCCATTGGGTTAGAGGAATCTTTATTTAACTGCTGTGAGCTGTGACAGGTGGGATGACAGCACATGTGCAGTAAGGTATTTAATGTCCCTAATAACTCTGGGGTAGATTCAGGGCCGGACTGACAACTCATGGGGCCCCCAGGCAATAGGGGATCATGGGGCCCCTGTGTCCTTGCCCAAACTCAAAAAAGCCTATGAAAAAGGTACCAGGGGCATCTCATGGGGCCCCCTACTGACCCATGGCCCTCGGGCAGTGCCCGAGTTTCCAAATGGTCAGTCCGCCCCTGGGTAGATTGGCCAGCAGGGCTTGTGCAACAACTTATAAACACTGAGGCAGAAAGGGAGGGAGACCTGTCAGGCAGGCTATATAGGTCCCCTTGATTTTTAATGGTGGTCCTGCCATAAAGAGATCCTAATTAGCTGCTAGAATAGCAAGAACAGATCTTTGTAGAAGTTGAAGTTCTGCTGATGGTATTGTCACTGAGATTTGACCCGCTGTTGTATTTGAATGTGAAGTGTTAGGTCAACCAGAATTAGCTTTCATTACCCTTGCCTTATTATCTAAAGTAGACCCCTGCTTTACCTTTATCTTTTTTAGCTAACTTTTGATTAAATTGTTTGCATAAAATTAAGGAAACTACAGAGTAATAAATTAATGTGCTTTGTATAGAACTTCTACAGTTACAGGAAAACAATACAAGATATACAATGCACTACAAACATGCATGCATACACATGTGTACACTATCCACCCTTTCCTAGCAAATGCAATAGTCAGAATGCAATGGAACACAATAAAAGTCACTTAGCCTTTGTTAGAGTTAGTCCACGATTTCCTTTGTACGTGGTGAAGTTCTGTTCGATAAGGAAATTATGGACTAGCTGTAACAGAAGCTATGTTCATTTGTTAGTGAAGCATAGTTGGCATGCACATATGTGTATGTTTGCGTTTGCATTTGTGTAGCATACGTGTAGCACTCAGTGTGCCTTGTATTGTTTTCCTGTAACTGTAAGTTGCGGAGAATTCTTGTTTAGTAAAAGCGCATTAATATACATCCAGATCTTTTAGGTTGAGTAGTTGATAACAATAGGTCTGTTCCACATCCCAATTTGGAATAACCTCACCAAAGAAGATAAGTCAGAGACTTTTGTGGTGCTTGGAGAAAAACATTTAACATATGTTTTTCTGTAAGCACCTCAAATGTCCCTGATTTATCGTAAAGTTAAACGTCCAGATTTGTTTCCTGGCTTAATGCAAGGAACAGTTAGTTAACAAACAGTTAAAAAACAGCTGAAAAGATAAAAGCAAAACATCCACACACATACTTTATTTTTTATCATCTTTGGAAGCCTGCAGCCAGACAGATCAGTTAGCCAAAAAGGTAAAAGAAAAATACTCATGATTTTAATGCCACTCTCCATTAGTGCATACTTACCTTCCCTTTGTTCCCCCACCACTCCATTCAGCCATCAGGAATGAAGAAAAGAAGCCCAGTGTAAGCTCTGCATTGCTCTAATGCAGGGCTGTTAATCTCAGTTTCATTACAGGCCACATCAGCTTCAAATGGCTGGTTGTATCAGTAATACTAGATATCCAGAGCACCCTACCCCTCCTTACATCAGATGTCAAGAGTCCCCCAATCATCAGAAGTCAAGAATCCGCCACCCTTCCCTACATGACAGTGCACCCCCCCCTTACCTTGTGCTTCTGCTGGGAAGAAGCTGGGGTGAAGAAGGGAAGAAGAAGCTACAGGGTCTGGAGGAGAACCAGAGGAGGGTTAGAGTCAGCTGCTGGAGTCTGGTGCGTGCTGATATCAGAGGGTGAGACAAGGGGTTGCTGTAGCTGCACAGAAAGGTGCAGGATCTAAAAGAGGAATTCTGCCCTCCTCTCTGTTGTTGACTGCTGAGACCAGGGGGGGCAGAGACAAGTCTCTCTGCGGTAGCACGGGACTGCTGCAGCTGCAGGAGAGGACCAAGGGCCACATGAAATGGTCACGTGGTCAGGATTTGGCCCATGGGTCTTGTGTTTGACACATATTCTCTAATGAGTGCTTACACAGGGTTGAGGACTGTCTCCTCATCCCCTACATGAAAGTGCTGGGCCAAGAACCAGGCCCCTTTACAACTGGCAGAAGAGAGCAACAGGGAAAGAGGGAAAGGTGAGAATGCACTGTTGGGAAGAGGGGCATTAAAGTCAACCTATTGCTATGCTTTGAATGGGCAAGAGACAGGTTTTGTTTAATAAAAATGTAAGTAGCTGAGGACCATTCCTTATATAGGAATTACTTATACAGTTGTAAATAATATTGCATTGACCACCCAGTACTTTGTCTGACCATATGCATTAATAAACTGTTGTATATTGACTGGTTAGAGTCACTTCTCTTTTAAACTAATACATTGTATTTCAGTGTGTACAGTAAAGAGTAGACTGTGATGTCTTGCAACTAACCCTTCACAGCAAAACCAGTGAAGTTGTTCAAGTGATTATCTCAGGCAACTCAGCACCCTGCTGCCCCCTCCCAGCAGTGACACAGTAACCTTCCAACTTGTAAAGCATTAAGCAGATGCATTGGGGTGCGAGCAGGATGAGCTGAGTTGTTGAAATAATGACTTGAATGACTTTTGTGCTTCTGTTGTGAACTTTGTAGATTCAGAGAAGGTGAATTTTAAAGTTTTTTGATTACTTTTTAGGAATATCTAAATTCTTAAATGTCCATAATCTGGCCTGGCCACAGGTTCAACTCAGCTACGTATAAATTTTCACTTCCAAATAAATACTTTAATATACAATTACCTATTTGCAATGTGCATAATACTGTATGTACATTTAAACATTAAAGAGTCTTTAGATGCCTTTTTGATGTACTACTTATCTAATGAGGGTGTAAAAAAAAAAACCCTAACCTGATCATGGTCAATAGGTACAATAAATTTAGGATGATTGCACTGGCTAACTGGTTCTTACATAGTTAGGTTGAAAAAAAGACACAGATCTATTGAATTCAACCAACAGAAAAGATCCAAAAGAGGGCAAAGAAAAACCCTATGAAGCATTTTTCCAATAAATTCCTATACCCAAAGAGACTCTTTTTATGTATACAATATCCAGGGCACCCACTAAAATCCTAAAATATTCACTTGAAGACCAAGTCTTTACTGGCACTTTTTGTTTACATGTAACAATCAGTATTTTTTGCTAGAAAATCTCTTAGAATCCCCAAACACTATATATATTTTTTTAAAGCAGAGGCCATAGAGAATAAATTGGTGGGTTTTTTCAATTTTATTTACTCTGTTTGCTCAATTTTTTGGAAAAAATAAACTTTTTTTGAATTTGAATGCAAAAAAACATAACACAACCCAATTTTTGGTAAAATATAAAAGATGGTGTTTTGCCGAGTAAATTGATGCCAAACATGTCAAGCTTTAAAATTGTGCATGCCCCTGCAACAGCAACAAAGGACTTAAATTTTACTATCCATAGGAGAGGCCTTTACAGGTTACCACTTCAGATTTACAGAGGTCTGGTGCTAGAATTAATGCCCATGATCTGATGTTCGCAATAATACCTCATTTGTGTAGGACGATCGCTATTTGCGTGCGTGCAGGACCGACGGAGGGATGGGGCATGTTTGATTTGAAAAAAAAAAAAATAATTAATGTATTATTTTGACATTGTTGCTTTAATTTTTTTTTCTTGGAATCAATTTTATTGCTGCCAGAAGGAATGTAAATATCCCTTGTGACAGCAATAGAAATTTGACAGGTACTCTTTATGGAGAGACCTGTGGTCTATAAGACCCCAAATCCCTCTCCTGTCCATAAAAGCATTTGATCACACCAAGTTCGATGTGATCAAATGCTTTTTATTTTTAAAAATGGCACGGTTTAGTTTACATCTGGTTTACTATATCACAGAGCTAAACAAAGCTGGTCCTGTCTTTCTGTGATCAGTATGCAGAAGTGCCGGCTGGTCGATCACGATTCCCAGAGGGATGGCAGATCCCAGTAAAGCTGTAGAAGGTGGCAGGAGGGGGGGCATGTAAAAGCAATCCAGCGGCTAGCTAGCTGCTAGGATTGCTTTTACAAGGGAGCCGACTCTGAAAAAAAACGGTACTGGGATGCAGTTATCATACTGGTATAACCACTTGAAGTCCAGTGACTTACCAGGAAGTATATGAGTGAGCTGTGGGCACAGCAAAATAAAAAAATGATCAAAAATGGGAAGGCAATAAAGTGAAACTTCTGGTAAACTTTTTTGGACTTTGTATAAAGTTTTTAATCGATAACGTCATTTGTAGGACTTCTCTTTGCTTCTCGCCTTGGTGACAACTTGGTCACCAGGATAAAGAGTGAGGGAAAGATTTTCAAACATTTTTTCTAAAAAGGATACAGATGACTAGATTTTATATATATATATATATATATATATATATATATATATATATATATATATATATACACACACACTGTGTATCAATAGATCTATATACAGTTGCAAGAAAAAGTATGTGAACCCCTTGGGATTACGTGGAGTTTTGCATGAATTGGGCATAAAATGTGCTCTGAACGGCATCTAAGTCACAACAATAGAAGAACACAGTCTGCTGAACATAATACTACACAAATATTAGATGTTGCCATGGTTTAATTGCACATAACATGTAAACATTCACAGTGCAGGGAGGAAAAAAGTATGTGAAGCCCTAGCTTAATGACTTCTCCCAGAGATAATTGGAGCCAGGAGTGAGCCAACTTTGACTCCAATCAGTGTGATGATATTGGATGTGTTGCTGACAGCTGCCCTGCCCTTAAAAAAACACACCTGTTTTGGGTTTACTGGTTTCAAGAAGCACTGTCTGATGTGAACCATGCCTCGCAGAAAAGAGCTATCAGAAGACCTACGATCAAGAATTGTTGACTTGCATGAAGCTGGAAAGGGTTACAAAAGTATCTCCAAAAGCCTTGATGTTCATGTGTCCACGGTAAGACAGACTGTCTACAAATGGAGAAAGTTTAGCACTGTTGCTACTCTTCCTAGGCGTGGTCGTCCTGTAAAAATGACTGCAAGAGCACAGCGCAGAATGCTGCATGAGGTAAAGAAGAATCCCAGAGTGTCAGCTAAAGACCTACAGAAAATCTCTGGCACATACTAACATTTTTGTTGACACATCTACAATAAGGAAAACATTAAACAAGAATGGAGTACATGGGAGGGCACCACGGAGGAAGCCATTGCTGTCCAAAAAGAATATTTGCAGTACGTTTGAAGTATGCAAAAGAGCACGTGGATGTTCCACAGCACTACTGGCAAAATATACTGTGGACAGATGAAACCAAGATTGAGTTGTTTGGGAAGAACACACAACACTATGTGTGGAGAAAAAAAGGCACAGCACACCAACATCAAAACCTCATCCCCACTGTGAAACATGGCGGAGGGAGCATCATGGTTTGGGGCTGCCGGGTTTGCTGCCTCAGGGCCTGGATGGATTGTTGTCATTGATGGGAAAATGAATTCCAGAGTTTATCAAGACATTTTGCAGGAAAACGTATGACCATCTGTCCGCTAACTGAAGCTCTGCAGAGGATGGGTGATGCAACAGGACAATGATGACCCAAAGCATACAAGTAATTCAACAAACCAATGGCTGCAACAGCACAGAATACGCCTTGTGGAGTGGCCCAGTCAGAGTCCTGACCTCAACCCGATTGAAATGCTGTGGCATGACCTTAAGAGAGCGATTCACACCAGACATCCCAAGAATATTGCTACACTGAAACAGTTTTGTGAAGAGGAGTGGTCCAAAATTACTCCAGATCGTTGTGCAGGTCTGATCTGCAACTACAGGAAACGTTTGGTTGAGGTTATTGCTGCCAAAGGAGGGTCAACCAGTTATTAAGTCCAAAGGTTCACATACTTTTTCCTCCCTGCACTGTGAATGTTTACATGTTATGTGCAATTAAACCATGGCAACATCTAATGTTTGTGTAGTATTATGTTCAGCAGACTATGTTCTTCTATTGTTGTGACTTAGATGACGTTCAGAGCACATTTTATGCCCAATTCATGCAAAACTCCACGTAATCCCAAGGGGTTCACATACTTTTTCTTGCAACTGTATATATATATATATATATATGTGTTTGTGTATTTTTGTCACATTTGTTCATTTTATTTAGGGGCTGTCAACTACAGTCATATTCCACATAGGTTTTTTGGAAAAAGTTGAAATTATACAGTGATCTACAGTGTTACCCTCTAACCAATCCATGATTATTTAACCTGACCCTAACACTTTACTTCCCCCATCACATAACCAAAAAATGCTTATATTGTATGTGCAGTTTATCCAATAGGAGTAGGAAAGGGTTTGAAACCTTTGTCAATTTAATTTTCTTATCTGTGTCCCATTGAGGAGATACCCCTGCAGTTTATTTTCCCAAAATCGCAACTGGAAGTGAGAAGAAATCTCAACAAAGTGAGGTGAATTCCCTTTACAGACAGCTATAACCAGGGGTGGACTGACAACTCATGGGGCCCCTGGGCAATAGGGGATCATAGGACCCCTGTGTCCTTGCCCAAACTCAAAAAAAAGCCTATGAAAAAGGTACCAGGGGCATCTCATGGGGCCCACTACTGACCCCGGGCCCTCGGGCAGTGCCTGAGTTTCCAAATGGTCAGTCCGCCCTTGGCTATAACCAGAACAAATGTCACCATTGAAAGATTTATCCTTACATCTTTTTCTGATGACAGCTCTGAAATGTTGGATTCTTCAATACTTTCTGTTTCACTAATAGTGATCACAAGGAAGAACAGTGAGGAGGAATCTACCATGTAAGGACAATAAAAACATATCAGAGATTCTAATCCTTCTTTATTGAACACTAAATTAGCCCTCAAAATTAACCCTACACCTTGACACAGCTTCTTCTGCAAGTCTGCAATTCCATAGACATAACAAGCTTTTAAACCCCTGCAGAGCGGGGAGGCCCCACTGCAGGGGTATTTTTTTTTCGTTGTGCTTGGGGTTGGCCTTTTCAAGGTTCCCCTAATTTAATCTCCATAGAAGCATACTTAGCTTTGTGGGCATCAAGTGGAACCTTAAAATTCTGTATGTATATATATATACTGTATATATACACACACACACTGTATATTAGAATTTTTCACCCAAATTTCCCAAACTTTTATATTTGGGATGTCTGAAATGGCTTTATGTATTTGTTACATAAATAACACAAACAGGAACACAGCATTACAATACTGCTTTAACAATATTGATTTTGCTTACCCTAAAGTGGTTTTCACGTATCGAGCCCCTGGCCAAAAACATCTTGTTGTTATCAGCTTTCAGATGCTCGTAGAAGGTTTCTTCCAGGCGGAAACTGTCCATAAGGTCACAACCAACATAGAGGTTGAAGTTTTCACCTGTGAGCTGAACAGTAATATTTTTCCACTGAGAGTCGGCCAGGTCAACATCCTCCAAGGATATTACGTTCTGAGTTCCTTCTACCCAATAAATTAGGTCCAAAGTATTGGCTCGTCCATTTGACACAAGCTCAAACAGTCTGTTGGAAATGCCAGGGCCCTCTACGGAAAGAAGGGTTCCTCTGTTTTGTTTGTCTTGTTTTATTGTGGCAGTTAAAATAAAACCTTCATTTAACTGCATCAGGTGAATAATTTCCCTCATCTTTTCAGATTTAACTGGAGGTATGTGATCAAAACCGGAGAAAAATCGATATGCTGGAGAACTTTGATCATGTCCACGAAACATCTTGACTCCAATTGTCTTCTTGTTTATATTACTAATTTCAAATAAATCAAAAGTAGTCTCATCTTCCCCATCTTCATCTAAAATTAGAAAGAGGTAGCATATTTAGTGCAATTTTAAGTTTTCTTTTTATTTTCATTAGCGTTTTGAAGATTAAATATTAAATACCAAAAACACAACATAAAACAAACTTTGAAAATCATGCAATCTTGTTGGTATTGAAGAACAATGGAAGTAAATAAAACACAGTAACATGCAATTCCAATGAAAAATAAAAATCTCCTATTTTGGGGTTAAAAGTAAAAAGAGGGCAAGTGATAAAAAAAATATGCAAATCAGACAAGTAATGAAAACAAAGAAACATACCTGTTGCTTAAGTTACATAGCCTGGAGGATGAATGCTATTTTTTTTTAGCTTGCAGCAGTCATATAGTTATTGACTTTTGGCTCAAGCCTACATTCCCACTGCTGGGTGCAGAGATTAATGCAGCATCAGCATTCCACAATAAACAGCAACAGTAGAAGAAACATTTAATCAAATCTCCAAATCTTCTGCTAAAATCACCAACTTTTATTCAAAATTCATAAATAGTACAGATGGTTACCCCCCCCCCCCCCCCGGCTACCAATGACTGTTTTACATGTAAAACATGTTTTTTCTGGGTAGTACATGTGAAAACGTGAAAACAGGGACAACTCCAGACAATTTTTTGGGGGGAGGTGGTTGTTCTGTGGTGGGAATATAAATGTGGGAGCTAAATCCATGTTATAGTAAAATCAGACATAACATAATGAGAAAGTACAATGTTACATAAAAATCATTCTCAGTGTAGATAGACTTTATGCCCTTTCAAGCACATTGATATGTTCAGAGTGTAGTGGTCAGAAGAATGTAACAGTGTATCTCACATTTCTGGCCAGCAAGTGCAAAAACCAGCTTTAACTGGTGTCAGTGGATGTAAAAATAAGTAATAGTTTTCAACATTTAAAGATAATTAGGAATGACACCTTGAAGGGATTGAAAAGAGAAATGAGGTGTGGGTGCCTGCCACCAATCTTGAACCAATTGAGAAGAAAAATGTATTGTGTGTGTGTGTAGCTCACAGCCCACCATTCATTTCTGGGTCAGTAAGTCCTAGTAAATGTAAGGGCCAGCAATAACCCCCAGAAAGTGTCAGGGCCAGCAATGATAACCCCTTGCGATAACCCTAAGAAAGTTTCAGGGTCAGAAATTATAATCCCCAGCATGTGTCTTGGCCAGCAATAACACCCTGCAACTTTCAGGGCAAGCAACAACCCCCGGCATTATAATAAATCCCAGTGCAATAATAAACTCAAGCGCAATAATAAACTCCAGCACCATAATAACCATCAAAACAATAATAAAACCCACCAGGGAGAAGGATGGAAGAAGTGGGGGTTACAAGGATGTTAACTCTACCCCCACAATATGTCCTCCCCCAGTATACCCCCTACATGACAACCACAGAGTAAGGCAGAAAACATAGTGACCCATGTGAAAAAGACAGCAGAAAGGCAGCACAAGGTCTAAGCATGGTTGACGTAGTATATTTGAAAGCTGAATACTAGGCATTTCTTTTTACCCAGACTTCAGTTCAACTTCCACTCTGAAACAGTCAGAGGACTGCATCCCACTCATGTCACAATCTCTTCCTTCATTCCACTTTACTTTGTACAGTATCCAAAAAGTAACGTCTCTTGACTGTAGGACATACCAATCCAACAGGGACAGCCCTATGCTCTAACAACCTGTGGGTGGGGCCTACTCACCCTGTACGCGGGGGTACCACTTTCGTCTATGTGCTCACTGATGCTCGGGAACAGGCAGGGCTGCGGTCATGTGAATACAACATTAAGGCAGGAACCTGGCTTAGAAGTGAGCCGTGTGCCTTGTGCAGCTGTATACCCACCTATAGCTTCCTATTGTGAGACACTTCATCCCATGCTGCTGCACAAGTTATCTCCCAGAATGTATCATTTAGGGGGGGCACCACTGTCCTGTGACTCGCTCCATCAGCCCAGCATTACTCTGCCACATCACTCCCAGTGACAGAATAGGGTCAAGCTGTGCAAAAAGTGCAGACCTCATGCAAGCACTTGATTGACTTCTCACTTTCCTGTAATTGTAGCCAGGCCCATGTGGTCTCTGTACTGTGGGTTTGGTCCCGATTGCTTTTGGGAAACAGAACGATAGAGAGGTAGCCAGAGTACCGACCCCTTTCCCCCGCTACCGGAGGACCTGTCACCCATGCCTGGTACCACTCTCCGTTGTCTAGCTACTACTACATTCCCACCTAGTTCAATGTTACTCATAGCAACTACACACTTCCCACAAACTCCCCCTCCCCTAAGTTAACCCTTAGTGATGGAAAGTAAATAAACTGTCCCACAGAGTCTCCAACAACCTATCCAACAGCTACTCCTCGAGTGAAAAAACTCACTCAAAAAGTGAGATTTAGCACTGTTCCATTTTAAATTTAACCCTTAGTGATGGCCATACGTTCCTTCCTCTTCACCACATATATGCTTAACAGACTCTGCTCTTCTACATATGCCATGTACCACCATGCACCCCTTTTAGTAACTTCAGACCAGGCACTTAACAACTTTACTTGTGACACTGCAACACTACAGTCCATAGAACACATGACTCCCACTCTAAACTAGCTAATCACAGGCTGCCCTTGCATACCTTCCCTGGTAGTAGTCCATGATTGGCAGAATCCTTGGTAGGTAGGTTCCCTTAGAAGGTGCTTGTGGGTTACTCTTGGTTACATTCTGTACAGCAGGGCCCTTGTCTTCCTTTCCATGTGGCCACTCGGAAGTCCTCGAGCCCAGCCTTCCCCCTATTTATACACAGCACAGGGTGGATGGCAGAGCCCAGAAAAGTCTGGGAAAAATGCAGAACCCACACTGACCCTTCCCCACACAGGCAGTCCAGAGTCCCTGACTAACAATATCGCTGTTTGTAGGTAAGTGTAGGGAGCCACACAATTGACTGGAGATAAGTAAAGTCCACTCTGAGCCCTCTCTCAACAAGGTGAAAATCAGAGTCTGTAATGCGGAAATTTACCTGCTGTCATTTGCTACTAATGGGGGAGCTATGGGGTGCTTGAAATGTTTGGTGGTGCTATAGTACACCCAAGCACCTCCATGGCACCACGACTGTGTGAAACAACCGTCATTGGTAGAGGAACTTTTAGTTTCTTGTAACTGAATAGTAACGGTGGATTGCAGATATACAGTTGCCTATCTTAGTACTGAAAAACTGAATAAAAACTTTTATGAGCAAAGACATTTTCCTCATAGTGGCCATAGTTTCCTATATTGACATAGATTGAGATGTCTCTATTAAAGCAAACCTATTGTCATACAAAAGTTAAAAGCAAAGATATACTTTTAAAATTAGATTATAAATAATAACCTCTCATTACCTGCACCTCCAAACACCAGTCCAATGCTGTGTTATCTTCCTCCATGGTCTCCTAGGAGATCTACAGTTCTAGGATTGTAGATCTCCTGGGATCACTGCAGCTCTCATTGATTCCTCCTATTGAACGTCATCCTACTACTGTTTCCTGTAGTGACTTGGAGGTCAGCAGGAGAGACTTGCGAATGTTTCGGGGGACCCAGGAGATCGATACTTCCAAAAGTCTTGGTTTCCCGCCAGACTTCAGGGATCAGTTTCATAGCATCAGAGCAATGTTTTACAGAACAGGCAGCATGACATTTATGTATTTACAGTCTTCTATTACAGGTATATCTTTGTTTGGTAACTTTTGTATAGCAACAGAGTTGCTTTAACCTATGCCTATTAACTATGTCCAGTATGTGTGCCCTGCATGAGGATGTGCCCTTGGCTTTAATTTTTGGTTTTATTAACCACTTGCCCTCCAGAGGATGTATACCCCTCCTGACCAGGCCATTTTTTGTGATATTTGTTACTTTAACTGACAATTGCGCGGTCATGAAACGCTGTACATAAATTAAATTTGTGTAAATTTTTCCTCACAAATAGAGCATTCTTTTGGTAGTATTTGATCACCTCTGCCTTTTTCATTTTTTGCGTTATAAACAAAAAACCCGACAATTTTTTAAAAAAATACAATATTCTTTACTTTTTTATATAAAACATATCTCAAAAAAATTAAAAAAATCTAATTTTCTTCATTAATTTTAGCCAGAATGTACTCTGCTACATGTCTCTGCTAAAAAAATCCCAATAAGTGTATATTAATTGGTTTACTTGAGAGTTATAGCATCTACAAAAGGTGGGATATACTGGAATTTTTATTTATTTTAATTTAATACTAGTAATCAGTGACATAGTGGGACTGCAAGACTGTGGCAGGCATTCTGACATTGGGTGGGAATTTACTAAAGGCCACTGACATACCCAGTAACCAGTTCTAATAAAAAGACCTGACACTGTACTAATAACACTGGGCAGGAAGGAGTTAACATCTGGGGCGATCAAAGGGTTAAATGTGTGCTGTGTGTGTTTTCACATTGTGAACTGTGTTGTGTTTTACTAGAGAGACATGCTGCTTTGTATCTCTCTGCTGTGTACAGAGATACAAAGCAGCATGTCCAT